ATCGGGACCCCTGAGGTTACTGCGCTATGAATAAATTACTTGGCGGATGGGCTGCGGAGTCATGAGCCAGGAAAATGGGAGGAAGGCTCCCTCCTCCTCCTCCTCCTTCCCCGGCAAAGGGAGGCTGGGCTCCTCTCCGAGGGCTGCTGTGCACATCCCCGCTCCCGAACCGCGCAGACGCTGCTTGCGCTTTGCAGCTTGGCTTTGCCGGGCCCCGTGGTGCCGGGGCGAGGTTCGGGGTTTGCCTCGGCCTCGCACTCATCGCTAGTGATTTGCAGTGGTTGTAATGGGCACCTCTATTTTTCTGTTTGAAGAACAAACAAATAGTTACCACTCTGGTTACAAGTATAGCAGGTTGTCTTTTGGACACGTCTGTACTCCAATGCGTGAATGCAAAGCTGAATGCCATCATTCAGAGGCTTTTAGAAAGGGAAATATTTTCCGACACTGCATTTTGCAAGGCTTAGCCTTACAGCCCTGAAGAGAAAAAGGGTCAAGTGGAAGGCTTGCGTCCCATCCTGGGCTATGTTGCAGGCAACTGTTGTGATGAGATCGTAGAATTATAGAATGGTTTGGGTTGGAAGGGATCTTAAAGATCATCTGGTTCCACCCCCCCTGCCATGAGCAGGGACATCTTCCACCAGACCAGGTTGCTCAGAGCTCCATCCAACCTGGCCTTGAACCCTGCCAGGGAGGGGACAGACACAGCTTCTCTGGGCAACCTGGGCCAGGGCCTCACCACCTTCACAGGGAAGAATTTCTTCCTTGCTTCTAATCTAAATCTCCCCTCTTCTAGTTTGAAGCCATCATCGCTTGTCCTGTCACCACATGCCCTTGTGAGAAGTCCCTCTGCAGTACCTGAAGTATCCCTTCAGGTACTGGAAGGCTGCATCCCTCCACGTGAGGTGTGTCCTCTCCTGGCACCTCCCCACCTCACTGGAAGACCTCTTCATTTTGGGGGTCAAACCCTGTGCTTGGAGCCCAGTGGGTGGCTGATGGAGGATGTGATGGTGTTGGGGGATCTCAGAACTTTTTTACCCCCACCATTCATCTGCTTTTGTGAAAACCTTTGCGATGTGCACCTCCCTGCTCGCACAGAGGTCCAAGCACCTGGTCTGCTCTGGGGAAGAACCCAGTCTTCTCCAGTGAAGTTCTGCACGTTGCATCTGATGCCAGATATCGAAAAAGACAGCAGGAAAGCCTCATGACCCAACAACTCCTCCTTTCAGATCTATGACTGGATGGACATGCTGGTGGATGATCATCCCAGCCTTGTTAGCAAGATCCAGATCGGGCAGAGCTACGAGAACAGATCCCTGTACCTGCTGAAGGTGGGTACTGGGGGCACCCTCGCCTTGCCCAGCCCTGGGAGGGCACAGGGCTGAAATCCACCCCCCCTCCATCCAGTTCAGCACTGGGGGATCGAATCGGCCGGCCCTCTGGCTGG